AAATCCTGGTGATACCAACGATTGCCGCAGAAATCTAGAGAGGAATACGTCATCGCCTATAGCAACGTCATCACAATGGTAATGCGAATGATAACTAGTATGGAGGCCAATGGCATGTGGGGATATGCACGCTTAGGCTTTTTCTCACATGATTCCTTTAAAATACAAAAAGGTTAGAATATTAATAGTAAAAAAATTTTTTAAAAAATGCTGACTGAGATTTCAGGTGTGACGTATGAAGACTTGCTCATACTAATAGCTTAAGTTTACTTTATAGGACTTCTGTGGAATCAGCGTGACAATAAATATATCGGATATGTCGATTTTGATGATGAAAATGCAGAACTTGAAGCATTCGGTGAACAATGTCTCCATGATATCCAAAGTTCAGAGCATAACACTAATGCTACGATTGAAAAAGATCATGAACGTGCATTAGCAACCCAAGTGCATCAAATTGTATGGCATTCGATATCTCATCCTTTTAATTTTCCAATAGCTTATTTCGGAGTTGAAACAATGAACATCCATACCCTCAACACACTTCTTTTTCACTTAGCTGCCAAGCTTGAGTGTGTAGCGATTCACACGTGTGGTTCCATTTGTGATGGTGCGGCTGAAAATAGAAGGCATATTAAGAGCTTTGATTGGTTTGCGATTACCTGGAAGATTGGTGATAATGTGGAGGTTCAATTATCTAATAAGCCAGGGAAGAAGAGTCACCAACCTGCTGTTATAGTTTCTTATAACTCAGATCGTACTGAGTTTTTGGTTCAGCTCACAAATATGGACATGCATAAGGTTGTGCATTCTGCATTACGATCTCCAATGCCAGCGAAAAATATTTGGAATATCAATGATCAGTGTGAAGTTCGAAATACTATTAACAATGAATGGTATCGCGGTAGAGTTCTTACTGAAATCTCGACAGACGGTTATTTGGATGTTGTAGTTTCTGGCCAGCCAACCACGTGGAAGTCACTATCTTGCGACATTCGACCCGTATATGATGAGGACCAACATTGGATGCATCATCTTGCAATTAATCCGATAACTGGTAAAACATGGTTTTTTCTTAGTGATTCAACTCATGTCTTTAAGAAATTAAGGAACAATGTATGCAAAAGTCATACAAGCAATGGTGAAACTAGGAATGTAAGAGAGATAATGTTTAATGGGTGGGAAATCAGCTGGCGGCATTTTTGAGGTGTATATGATCACACGGCAACGCATATGACAGCAAAAGCAACCAAATTAACAAAATGACATATATGGCTAACAGCTTGGAGAGCAAGATGAGGGTGGATATTGCAGAACATACGTTGTCACTGGAAGTTAAAAAAGCAATGGGCAGAAATCCCAGAATTAAAAGACATATCTCAAGGCACTCAGGTTGGGAACGTTGTTTATATATCTTATTTATTATTGTCATTATTGCAAAGTCTAATACATCCTCACACTATTAGTTATTTATTTACTATGCAAATATGTATCGAAGCATCACACATAGTCGAGTATGCATTTCCTCTCTTGATGATCCACGTTTGAATGCTTTAAAAGAAATAAAACAATGGTTTATTCAGGGCAATAAGCAAAAAGAAAATCCACGTCAATGGTTTTCTGCCCAGTGCCAATTTGATTTGTTATTGTCAATTAATGGGTTTCTTGGGATTGTGGAATATGTACTTGTCAACTGGCCAGGCGTTGCAGTTCAACCCAGAAGAATATCCCAGGATATGCTTGAGGGTTTATTTGGTACGATTAGGGAAATGAGTGGTGACTCTTCTACACAAACAGTCCAATCCTATGGATATGCGATAAATAAATCAATTATTATGATGCAAATGACGTCAGAAATACATAGCTTGAATTATGGTTCAGCTGATGGCTCAGGTTGCATGCTTACTGATTTGAAACTCAGGTAATTCATTTGACCTGAATGTATACTCCACTTACACGATTTTAAAACAAGTTTGATTAAATAAATGGCTTTTACAGGAATTGCCGGACAGTGACACATTGTGACACACAGAGTCAGAAGATATCTAGCCATCATGAGACTCAAATCAATACATTTTCTACCTTCAGTCGCCGAATATTTCAAGAACTTCTTGATGATAATTTAGTAATGGGAAAAATACAATTGCCACCTTCAAATCATGAAAATGTCAAGATTGAAAATGCAACTATCAACCACTTGCAACATGAAAGAACACAGTTAATTGAACACTTACTGTATCTACAAAGCATAGATAATCTTTTAGTGACCTGGTCAAATAACATCCATCAAATGGCATT